GATCTTAACTGATTGTGTTCACGTTAACGGTGACTTTCAGACCGCGTTCCACTCACTGGCATGGTGCAGTGTGCAGAGTAATGTATGGTGTCGTAATTGTACAGTAAACATATAGCAGTATGATACACATTAGGGTGGGTAGAATAATACATAGTGTTATATTAAAATGGATAAGGCAGCAACTGCAGCAGCAGCAGCAAGTGCAGCAGCAGCAGCAAGTGCAGCAGCAGCAGCAAGTGCAGCAGCAGCAGCAAGTGCAGCAGCAGCAAGTGCAGCAGCAGCAGCAAGTGCAGCAGCAGCAGCAGCAAGTGCAGCAGCAGCAGAAACTGCAGCAGCAGCAGCAACTGCTGCAGCAGCAGTAACTGCAGCTCCCTTTGATGCTGTTAATCCTGCATAATGCACATGCATATGCAGTACTAATCACATTCCTGCATTTCCCATAAATATGCTAAATTCCTGTTGATATGCAAATTCCTTTGTCAATGCGCCCAGCTTATATATATGCTCCAAGCCCGTGTGCTGTTTCATTCAGACTCTGTCGCCTCGACGGACCTGGTTTTCACCTGAGGACGGCTGCTTGCGTTGTGGCCGAAACGTCGTGAGAATTGTTTTATTATGTTTTATTTTTATTATTTTATTACTTCCCTTCTACGTGACTTTACCGAAAGAACCAAGAAGATGAATCCCTGCAGTCACGAAAGCTTTAAATCGAAATTTTACCGAAATAACCAAGAAGAAGAAGAAGAAAAAAATTCGCAATATTTTTCAAGAGCCGCCGTGCACGTAGTGAATACGCGACGGCGGGATCCTTGATGAATGGCGTCACGAATCAGGAGCGCTAACAGAGACGCGGGTTGCCGACTGCTACCACCCCTGTGCTGCGTTGTTCATCTTGTGAAAATTAGTCTGTGGGCCTCTCGGTGCCAGGTTTGTAACAGCGACTGCACGGTAATCGTGGGAATTGGTGTACTTATGCAATTTTAACTTGTATAATTGACCTATTTTACTTTTTAGTGATGTCCTTACATTTCCTACACTTTGCACTCTCTACCTGAAATCGGATTTCTCCCGAATAAATAAAGATTATGATTCTTTGTAGTCAATCGCGCCACGCATCTACGCATCATGTGTTGAATAATAATGATTAAAATGTATAACGCGTCCTCAAGCAATCGTTCTCATTGCCCCAAATGCCAATCAATTTCGTAATGAAAAAAATCATTTTTTTTAAATATTTGTGTTTGTTTATATTCCAATAGCAGCGAGGTACAGAGAAGAACCCGTGGCACAAGGTGGGGGGGAAGGGGGGGCGGTACAGACGCTGCACGGAATGAGTGAATGATTGCTATGTTATCAAGAGGCAATGATTGAAACAAAAATCAAGGTGTGCCCCCTGCAATTCTGGCTGCGGTGTTTTGATTCGCACAGTTCGTGTACAGACCTGGTGGACGAGGGTTTTCCCACGACACTTTGGCCGTGGGAAATGTTGGCAATTGCAATTCACCACTGCTCATTCGCTGCATTACCCACAGGAGCCGTTCCACGTTCGTAATAGTACGATATTGACCCGAGAATCGATGTTAAAACAACCCCGATAAGCTTTTCGTGTTACGAATCATAATCTCAATTAAACTGACTCCTTACACGTGGAATATCTTATCGAAGCGCATTTTTCATGTTTAGAACCCGACTGCTTTTTTTGTCAGTTGGTACAGAACTTATTCTCACAAGGTGTGACTTGTTACTTATGTGTCAGCGAAACGGAAATGTCGAGTGCTCGATGTTGGAATATGCTGATTAAATTGCGTGGTTTTCGTACGCAGTGTCAGCTTCCTTCACTTGCAAAACCGGGCGACCGAAATTTAGATTCAAACTCAAGATTTCACTTTGCCCGGCTCATAGCTCTGAAGTGATCGCTGTGAGCCATCTTGTCCACCTGCCCACCAGTGTTGAGTCAGCATCATCCTAAACTTGTGCTCACAGTCTCTTAGCCTTGCCGATGACAGACTGTGGAATTGTGGAGCCAAATCGCCCACAGCCTCCCTCCTCCTCCTCCTTGATTGGGCGTCCGTCGCCGCTCGTTGCCGATGAGTGCACCCCCCCCCCCCCCGTTGACCCCTTGACCAGGATCGGATGGTGCTCTCAGGGGCCCTCCCTCGCCCACCTCTCCCTCCCTCCCCCCATTTACCTCCCCCTCCCTCCCCCACCTCCCCCTCCCTCCCCCTCCCTCCCCCCATTTACCACCCCCTCCCTCCCCCACCCCCCTCCCTCCCCCTCCCTCCCCCCATTTCCCTCCCCCTTCCTCCCCCACCTCCCCCTCCCTCCCCCCATTTACCTCCCCCTCCCTCCCCCTCCCTCCCCCCATTTACCACTCCCTCCCTCCCCCAACTCCCCCTCCCTCCCCCCATTTATCTCCCCCTCCCTCACCCACCTCCCCCTCCCTCCCCCTCCCTCCCCCCATTTACCACCCCCTCCCTCCCCCACCTCCCCCTCCCTCCCCCTCCCTCCCCCCATTTACCTCCCCCTCCCTCCCCCACCTCCCCTCCCTCCCCCCATTTACCTCCCCCTCCCTCCCCCTCCCTCCCCCCCATTTACCACCCCCCCCCTCCCTCCCCCACCTCCCCCTCCCTCCCCCCATTTACCTCCCCCTCCCTCCCCTCCCTCCCCCCATTTACCACTCCCTCCCTCCCCCAACTCCCCCTCCCTCCCCCCATTTACCTCCCCCTCCCTCACCCACCTCCCCCTCCCTCCCCCTCCCTCCCCCCATTTACCACCCCCTCCCTCCCCCACCTCCCCTCCCTCCCCCTCCCTCCCCCCATTTACCACCTCCTCCCTCCCCCACCTCCCCCTCCCTCCCCCCATTTACCTCCCCCTCCCTCCCCCACCCCCCCTCCCTCCCTCTCCTCCCCCCATTTACCACCCCCTCCCTCCCCCACCTCCCCCTCCCTCCCCCCATTTACCTCCCCCTCCCTCCCCCACCTCCCCCTCCCTCCCCCCATTTACCTCCCCCTCCCTCCCCCACCCCCCCCTCCCTCCCCCTCCCTCCCCCCATTTACCTCCCCCTCCCTCCCCCACCTCCCCCTCCCTCCCCCCATTTACCTCCCCCTCCCTCCCCCTCCCTCCCCCCATTTACCACCCCCTCCCTCCCCCACCTCCCCCTCCCTCCCCCCATTTACCTCCCCCTCCCTCCCCCCATTTACCACTCCCTCCCACCCCCAACTCCCCCTCCCTCCCCCCATTTACCTCCCCCTCCCTCACCCACCTCCCCCTCCCTCCCCCTCCCTCCCCCCATTTACCACCCCCCTCCCTCCCCCACCTCCCCCTCCCTCCCCCTCCCTCCCCCCATTTACCACCTCCTCCCTCCCCCACCTCCCCCTCCCTCCCCCCATTTACCTCCCCCTCCCTCCCCCACCCCCCCCTCCCTCCCTCTCCCTCCCCCCATTTACCACCCCCTCCCTCCCCCACCTCCCCCTCCCTCCCCCCATTTACCTCCCCCTCCCTCTCCCACCTCCCCCTCCCTCCCCCCATTTACCTCCCCCTCCCTCCCCCACCCCCCCCTCCCTCCCCTCCCTCCCCCATTTACCACCCCCTCCCTCCCCCACCTTCCCCTCCCTCCCCCATTTACCTCCCCCTCCCTCACCCACCTCCCCCTCCCTCCCCCCATTTACCTCCCCCTCCCTCCCCCACCTCCCCCTCCCTCCCCCTCCCTCCCCCCATTTACCTCCCCCTCCCTCCCCCTCCCTCCCCCCATTTACCACCCCCTCCCTCCCACACCTCCCCCTCCCTCCCTCCATTTACCTCCCCCTCCCTCCCCCACCTCCCCCTCCCTCCCTCCATTTATCTCCCCCTCTCTCCCCATCTCCTCCCTCCCCCCATTTACCTCCCCCTCCCCTCCCCCACCTCCCCCTCCCTCCCCCCATTTACCTCCCCCTCCCTCCCCCTCCCTCCCCCCATTTACCACCCCCTCCCTCCCCCACCTCCCCCTCCCTCCCCCTCCCTCCCCCCATTTACCACCTCCTCCCTCCCCCACCTCCCCCTCCCTCCCCCCATTTACCTCCCCCTCCCTCCCCCACCCCCCCTCCCTCCCCCTCCCTCCCCCCATTTACCACCCCCTCCCTCCCCCACCTCCCCCTCCCTCCCCCCATTTACCTCCCCCTCCCTCCCCCTCCCTCCCCCCATTTACCACCCCCTCCCTCCCCCACCTCCCCCTCCCTCCCCCCATTTACCTCCCCCTCCCTCCCCCACCTCCCCCTCCCTCCCCCCATTTACCTCCCCCTCCCTCCCCCACCCCCCCTCCCTCCCCCTCCCTCCCCCCATTTACCACCCCCTCCCTCCCCCACCTCCCCCTCCCTCCCTCACCCACCTCCCCCTCCCTCCCCCCATTTACCTCCCCCTCCCTCCCCCACCTCCCCCTCCCTCCCCCTCCCTCCCCCCATTTACCACCCCCACCCTCCCCTCCCTCCCCCTCCCTCCCCCCATTTACCTCCCCCTCCCTCCCCCTCCCTCCCCCCATTTACCACCCCCTCCCTCCCACACCTCCCCCTCCCTCCCTCCATTTACCTCCCCCTCCCTCCCCCACCTCCCCCTCCCTCCCTCCATTTATCTCCCCCTCTCTCCCCCACCTCCTCCCTCCCCCCATTTACCTCCCCCTCCCTCCCCCACCTCCTCCTCCCTCCCCCCATTTACCTCCCCCTTCCTCCCCCACCTCCTCCTCCCTCCCCCCATTTACCTCCCCCTCCCTCCCCCATATCTCCCATACCTCCCCCTATTTCCCTCCCCCCATTCCCCCCCCCTCCCACGCTGCCCACGGTTATAACAAAATTCACCGTTGACTGAAAAACAAACCACAATAATCTTGGCCGTCGAATATTTTCGCCACCAATTTCGCTCACACTGCTCGCCACCCACTCCAATACCTAAGATTGGAAATATTTCATTTCGGACATTTCATGACGCTTTGTGCATTGTGCGTGTGTTTTATTTCTTCCTATTCCGTGCAGTGCTGTGGGTGTGGATGGTACTCATCGGAATCGTGATCAGCATGTGCGTTGTCATGCGCAATGTGAGTATCCAGACCGCGCATCAACATTTGTCATTAATAACAGGCTTGGTATGAAGGCGATAAGTACCATTGAAGTTAGGTATTTACTGGCGCGGGTGTAATAAGCACACCGGACTTGTAATCCAGAAGTTACCCCCTTTTGATGCGATCTCCCTGATTGCGAGTTGAAACATTGGACACATTTTTGCGCCTGCTCAACCCAGCAGTATAAATGGGTGTACCTCAGGTGGGTCAAAAAATGCAGGTAATCCAACCTCTTCTAAGATGTATCGTCAGTGTGGAAGCGTAGGCCAGTGAGGCTTTCTTGGATTCAGGGCGCTCTTATTACGTACTATGGGGTCTGCGGAAAAGGTTACCAAAGCGCGTGCAGTATGTGTCTATCTAACTCTTATAGTGTTTTATTGTTTGCTCCTTGATGATTTGGACCTTTGGACCTGTGCTCAACAACCGTGTAAATGAGAATTAATCAAGAGGGTCAGGGAAAGTTCCTTCACCTGTGATGCTATATGCACCTGGATGAGCTCAGATGTGGAGTCAAAAGGGGTTTTCAGTCGCGTTTGTATTTGGTCCGCGAATGCACGGGGTTGCCTGCTCGGAATTTTATTTCCTCACGAGTTTCTTTTCTGTGCCACTTCTCCAGTCACATCCACTGTTCTCACGTACAGATCCATAGACATACATAGAGACCCACGGACTCGCATACACTTAGTTGATCTGTAAAATGACAAAGGAAAAAAATGTCTTACATGGAGACCCATTGACTGCAATCCCGGATCGCCTCCTGGTAAAGTTTGAGAACACGGTGGCTGATTTTGTTATCCAAGGTGCAATCTCTTTGCGAGCCGCCGGCAGCAACAAGTTCAAGACCTTGGTCAACACATTGACGCAGGGATACGAGGGCCCGTCGACCCGCACTGTCATTTCCAGGGTTTTCGAGCTTCACACCATCATGCTGCCCATCGTCGGGGCGTTCTTCTCCAACATGGACGTCGCCATCTCGCTCACCATCGACGGGTGGTCGAACCGCAACTTGAAGGGATTTTGGATGGTCACAGTGCACTGGATTGACACAAAATCTGATGTGTCGACATCCATGCTGCTGATGATCCTCGATGTGCAGTCTGTTTGAGCACCTCCAAAGCCTTGGGCACAATGTCTCGACCAAGCTGCTCGCTGTCACCAGCGACAATGGCTCCGATGCGATCAGTGCTGTCAAGACGCTGTTCGCCCTGGTCAACGCGGATCATATAGTCCAGATCGTCATCGGCCAAGTTCTCAAACTGATCAAGTCGACCAACGCCGAACTACACGAGGCACTCGTCAATATCAGGCACAGCAAGGTCGTCCGGCAGTCGTACCGCCGCGAGGCCGAGATCGCCAAGCTCGCCAGGAAGGTGCCGACGCACCAGGACTCGTCGACCAGGTGGCATTCGACGTTTGACATGGGCGACGACGCCATCACGAAGTGTGTTCCATTGGACATTATCATGGTGCACTTTCAGGATGTGATCGGCGTCGGTGCTTTCTCTGAACTTCAGTGAGAAAACATCGAGGGCGTGACAGCATTCCTGCGAATGCCACGCCAGGTCATGACGTCGTTGTCGGCGAACCGCAAGTCGACATTGGATATTGTGCCAGTGACGATGGAGCACCTGATCCGTCATTGCAATTGCGGTGAAACCGCTCTTAGAGCGATCGATGAGTCCTTGACCACGACGGGGATGAAGGCCGAGCTGGTGCGGTACCGCGACTTCCTGGTTCAGGAACCCGCCATTGTGGCATCCTACTTGAATCCACAGCTGCCGAAAACGACAGACCAAAACTAGCTGGCTACACTGAAGGCCACGATCCGCTCTGTCCCGCAGCATCGCTATTCGGACGTGCTCGCGATCCCGCTGACGGCAGTCACTGCCCATATGGAGGAGGGGTTGCAGTTCAGCACCCTATTCAGCAACGTTGGCAGCTCCATCAATGACGGCGATGAAGTTGATCGTTTTCTGAGCATGGGCGTCACGACCGCCAGCACCTTCATTGACGTAATGCAGTGGTGGTCTCCCCGTAAAGAGCTGCTCCCCGTTCACTACAAGATGGCTTGCGACTACTTAGGAGCGCCGGCGACGTCAACTCCCTGGGAACGCGTGAATAGTGGAGCCGGGCGGGAGTTCACATGCGTTTGCCAGTCGCTGTCATCGACGCTCTTCATCCAGTCCACGTGCTTGCGCTCGTGGTTTGCGGCCGGTTGCCTGAAGGTCCCGTCTAACTGGGCCGGAGCAATGCAGGATCTTATTGCCCATCATTCGTCCGAGGACGACGGCAATGACGAACTTGATCAGGTTGTTGATGAGATCGTCATCGACCAAGACGACTGGGACGAGGAAGTTATGGAGGACGGTGTTGTCGACAGCCTCAATGCCAGATTCGAGAGTATTCTACATGAATAAAGCGCTCTACCTCGCATTTACCTTTTATAAACCTGTTTCATGTGTAGTACCCCGGTAATTTCCCTGTAATCGGGTAATTTTTATGGGGTAAGGGTAAAAGGTAGGGTAAAGGTATGCTCGTTATTACCTTTTACCTTACTTTGCCGCGGACTAATCGCAACTGCATTCACATCAACCCTTTTCCCGTTCCGAGACATCTGCGGTTCAGCGTTAATTTTATTTAGAGAGGTGTAGTAGTGCCGTTGTTTTTAAAGACGTTACTCACCACAGAGAACTGTAGCAACACGACCGCACTCTGTGATAGCTGGTGCCAAACTGTGCCACACCGCCTCGTGCATGGCCTTGTGGGAAAACTCTGTACACGTCTTCCAATCTGAATAAGTACCGATAAAGTTATTTTATCTTTTTGGTTCTTTCGGTAAAGTCACGTAGAAGGGAAATAATAAAATAATAAAAATAAAACATAATTAAATAATTCTCACGATGTTTCGGCCACAACGCAAGCAGCCGTCCTCAGGTGAAGAACAGGTCTGTCGGTGAAGAACAGGTCTGTCGGAAAGACCTGTTCTTCACCTGAGGACGGCTGCTTGCGTTGTGGCCGAAACGTCGTGAGAATTATTTAATTTTGCTTTATTTTTATCATTTTATTATTTCCCTTCTACGTGACTTTACCGAAAGAACCAAGAATAGGAATCCCTGCAGTCACGAAAGCTTTAAATCGAAAGTTATTTTAGTTTTTCTTCCGATTTCGTTCCGATGATGCACACATACACCTGCCCACTCATCTGTCATTGATGACACGGAGAAAGAGGGGGCGGTTGGGCTGAGCCCCTCCTCCTCCTAACAACCCCTTCCCTGATCATCTCATTTTCATCATCATCATCATCGTCATTAATATTAAAGGTATGTAAAATGTATGTAATGTTTATTTCGTGGGTAGACATGGTTGGTTTAGGAGTGGTTAATAGATTTAGCCTTCTGGGGAATACACCTCGAGAAGTTACCAGGATGCATCGTGAGGCGGTATCTATTATGCGAGGAATCACCCCCAGTGAGGAGCTCGCATCTGGTATCAATTCCAAATGGCTCACATGACGGAGCCTAAATAGACTGAGAGTGGATTTCGGCAGAAGGTAACTCTCTCACAATATCATGGGGTGGGTGGGGGGGGGGCTTCTACACAGGCGACCAATATGCTTGTCAGGAGAAGCAAAACATGGGATCATCTCCCGAGATGCCCTGCAGCAACCACAATGGCACTCCTCAAGATTTGGAAATGCCAACACTGGAAGCGGTGGCCTGTGCAGAATATTGGGAAAATGCCATATAGGTTGGACACGAGACAGACAGAACAATAAGAAAAAAATGTTTGCTTATGTTTTGTTATGTTGTGTAATGTTCCATATTTAATTCGGTGTTTCTTGAATAAAAAGACAACTTAGTTCAGCGATAACGAGTCTGACCGCAGCCGTGGTTCCTCTAACACGCTATTTCCTACAGGCCCTCTGTACTTTGCCCACTGCAGATTTGCCAACCACGACTTTTTCCAGGAACCTAACCCCCCGCGTTTGGCAAGGGATTGCTGTATCTTTACACATGAGTCAACACATTATTCAACACATTCAAAAGCAACGTACAGATTTGCCTAAAAAAAGGAACATCCTTAATCGGGAAATATATACTTGCAGTGGCGTGGATCAGAAGCGCAGAAAATGAAGCATGCTCAAAGTGTGCAAAGAAGCGTAAAGAGGTGCACGCTTCGAATTTATTTGCAACCATAATCCCAAAGGTTACCTTAAATCTATCTGAGTGAGCATTAGACATAAAACATCGAACTGCTTGATTTTTGAATAGGCAATACAGCAAATAGTTCACTCGGTTACAGACTCTACAGAGTTTATATCAAATCTTCTGGATCGCAGCAGCGGCAGCACCCTCACTCCATGCCACTAAAATTCAAATGAAGCCGAGAGAGATGGAAGCGAGAGTCTGGACTGCTACCGACGTCAAAAATAAAACATCTCCAACCACCCCCGGGTTTCAATCTTCGTGCGCCGCCAATGGTCGACCATCAACCGAATCGGGATCAGGCATGGCCGATGCGGCCACCTGATGCCGCAAATGGCGCGTCGAAGATTCTGCAGGGCCTGCGAGTGCGTGGCCATGAGTCCCAAACCATCGACTGGCATCGTAAACACTCCGCCGCTGTCTTCAGCCCCTTCAAGGACGGGAACGGACGATGATCAACTGCTGCTTCTCGAACAAACAATTGAGTGCATAACAAATCCAAAATTACATCTTTGATCCGCCGTCATTAATCCATGTGAAAGAGGAAGAAGATTCCGATCCAAGCAGAAGGGCCTCCACGCGTAGAGGAAGCCTTAGAATGCCCCCACCCCGTGGGTCTCTGTTGTGTACTCTTCCATCCTGGCCACATGTCTTCAGAAAGGGGGGGGGGGGGAATCAGCGCCCACACTTTACCCCACCACACGGGACTTGACTGAGGTTGTGCGACACCCATCAATGCCGCTGGGTGGACAGAGGCAGCGTCGGCGACTT